GTGAGTCTTAACCACTTCCAACGACGACGACATTCAAAAGATTGTCTCAATTCATCGCTGCCCGAGGCAGGTTCAATTCTTCTGTTCAGCGGCTATTGATTTATGGGACGAAGATCCGACGGCTTTTGGACTTGTTAGTGTCCAACTGTTTGGCGGATACACAATCTCAACTAGACTAGAAATGTTTTTGAAGTATGTTGTTCAGATGGATCAACTACCATTTAGATAGAAATATATACATTTTGAATACATTTGAAGAGTTTCCGCTTCGTTCGCAATATTTTTGATCGATCCATCGACGCAATTTTTAGTTTCCCTACTGCGCCAAATATGTGAAAGTTTAGGTATTCTTTGAATCGAAAACTTCCATGCTGAACACATTCATGAAAATGTGAAACATAAACATAAACAGAATATGGATATTACCCGTAATGTATATAATAATTGGATGTTACAGGGTAAGTCTTACAGATCCTTACGAAAAGGAAGATCGCACTTGATTGAATTGCAAAATGTGGATAATGCAACTGACAATTCGAAAAGGGTTATGGAAAATAATTAATTACAATTGAAATTTTGTTGAAAATATTCATTTACTGAAAATCTGAAATATTTTCATTGATTTTTGAAATTGTTGCTTCTCAAGCAATTCTCATTAAGGAGGCTACGCAAATAAATAGCGAGCCGCACAAGGGTTAAGTGAAAAGCCCAAAAATTGTGAATTGGCCGGACAGGAAAGTTAGCCTCGTCAATTTTGGCGCACTGCTTTGGGTTAAGCATGAAGCAAAGTTTTGCACTTTTGAACTTGCTGCAGGGTCGTATCACACTCCGCAAATCAACCCCAGACCCAACCCCAACCCCAATCCACAAACCAACCCCCCCACCCCACCCCGATGGTAGGTGGGACTCTTTGCTCTGCTGTTTCTCACTGTTGCCTTCTTTTTCTTTAGCGCCCATTTTGTGCGCTTTGCAAGTTTTTGTGTTCGCCGGGGCAAAAAGTTTGCATCGACTTGTCAAAAGTTTTCTTGTTGCTGCAAAAGTTGTTGCTGTTCTTGTTGTTGTTGTTTGTTGTTGTTGTTGTTTGTTGGCTGTTGGTTGTAGTTTGCTTTTCCGTTTTCCTATTGTTTTATTTCATTTGCTGCCATGTCAAATTTTCACTTTTGCTGACTTTTTAAGTCAGCCAAAAACTTTTGATTTTGTTGCCCAGTTGACGGCATTTGCTGCGTCTGTTGCTCCTGCTGCTGCTGCTGCTGCTTCCACTGCCTCTGCTGCTTCTGTTTCTGTTTATGTGTCTGTTTCTAGTGCTCCTGTTTCTGTTTCGGGTTTTGCTTTTGGCTTTGCTTTCGCTCAAATGGCCAACAAATTGCGTCAACAAATTTGTACGCCTGCTGATTTGTGCATGCACTTCGCCAAATGGACTCCAAGCGGCCCATAAAACTGCCGACTTGCAGTATACAGCATACAGCATGCAGCATGCAGCATGTTGCAAGTTAAATGCATGCAGCTTACAGCTTGCAACTTGCCAACCTGGCAATCGCCAACTCATGACAACTCATAAATTGTGGCCCCGCTCGGGCAGGCGTTGCAAGCAGGTAGAGGGGCGTGCCTCCAAAGGGGTAGCGCAAGTCAAAAGTCAAAGCTGTCAACGGGGCACAAGCGGGCCACAGCCAAGCAGCAGCAATAGCAGCACACATAGAATAAAGCGCAGCCAAAAGTCATAAAACATTTGAAGCCTTTTTTTTTTGTAAATATTTTTTTTCTCCTTTTTCTGTTGTATCTTCGGTTGCATCTTTTCAATTTTGTTGTTGCCGTTGCACAGCAGCAGCAGCAACAAAAGCGCAGCAACGCCTTTAACAAAGTTCGCCTGCTGTTCATCAACATTTATGACTGTCCTGAGTTGCAACCGATGGTGATGATGATGTGGATGATGATGTGGATGATGATGATGACGATGATCAACATCATGATGAGTAGAGTAGCAGAAGAATGGTGGAGCTAGCTGCTGGCTGCTGGCTGCTGGCTGCTGTCTGCTGTCTGCTGGCTAACTAACTGCCTGGAAGCTTCAAGATGCCAAATGCCAGGCAACAATATTTGCGGCAGCAATTGCTGCTGCTGTTGTTACTGCCGCTGCTGCCGTTGCTGTGGCTGTTGCTGTTGCTGCTGCCGCCTTCGCCCGATCTTCTGGTCAAAGTCAGCCTCAATGCGGTTCCAAGTACATCAACATTTTTATGCGCCATTTTCTTCATCATTTTTACGGTCAACAGTTGCTCAAGTCACTTTACGAGCCAAAAACATCCAACTATAGTCAGCACAGAGAATAGACAACCCAAAAGTTGGCAGTCAAAAGTTGAGTTCTTTGGCTTTTTTGTCCAGATGCTTTGATTTATTGTGCAAAAAGCGTAGCCGGCAGCAGCTGCCGCGTTTAGCCTGAAGAATTACACATTTCGCTTCAGCATGTGTGTGTGTGTGTGTGTGTGTGGGGGGGGGGCGCAGTGGCTGTTAGATAACCAAATGGGCGTGGCTCCAACCATAAATTAGACAGCATAATGAGCCGTTGAGATGCAAAAAAAAAAAAGAAGGAAAAGGGAAGAAAAGCATCTGCCTCACATACAGCTCTGGGTGGGTGGCCAAAATTTAGCTGTTGGCAGTAAGTTGAAAAAATATAAAAATTACATTTGTAATTGACGGTCCTTTGCCACAATCTCTGTGGCTGTGCTATTCACGACAAAAATCTATCACTGAGCTCGCTGGGAATGCACAAAGCTTGTTGAAATTATCTTTTGAATTCGATAACCAACGAAATTCATTAAATTTTGGGTTGGGTGAGAGAACTACATTCTTAAGAACTATTAGATGGCATGTCTTAGTCTAATACCTAATAGCAACTTGGATCTATATTTTGAAATTTGTAAAATTTAATTGATGAATCCAGTCATGATGCATAATGCATCTTACAGTGATAATATATATCATATTTGTATTGGACATGGATTGAGCCATTTATTAAATAGTGCGGCGAAGTTTATTATTATTATTATTGTTATTGTTATTATTATTACTATTATTATTATTATTGTTGTGCTGTGACCTTCCATTAACCATAATTTCTGCACGATTCTTTATCTGGTTGAGAGTTTCTATGTACTCCGAGCTTAAAATATGTTTCTCTCGAGTACAACATCCTCTCCTGGCTAAGGCGACACAATCTGCTATGAAGTGCTTTGAGAATGACTATACCTAGTTTGGTTTGACGATTTCCTAGTCTATGTCCTATTGAGCGACCGGTATTCTGATCCTCCCATGATTAAATCGTTTTTGATTATAGCCACCGACCAGGCATTTGGCTTGCCTGAGACCTGGTGCCTCTGCCCACCTCGTTCTTCGTTCTTCGTTCCCCAGTTGCTGCCACAAAACCGTTCTGGTAGTGTTAGGAGGCTTTCTGCAGAGGCATAGTTTCCTTAATTATTCCAATAGTATTCATTTGTAAGCCGAATTGTCATTAGTGTACTCCCACTTATGTGCAAAGATATCTTTGCAATTATTTATTTGATTTTCAATTGCCAATGTCTTAATATAGTGCGAAATGATTTTTGTTTTCTTGTTTGTATTCTTTTGCTTGGATGGATGATAAAACTAGTTTGCTGAACGGGAAGTGATCAGCGCTGGCACTTTAAATCATTGCAGCTGAACAGGGTTGCTGGCTCATCGGCTGTTATAAGTTAGCTAATGGCTACCGATCTCTTTCATATTAATAGAGAATCAAAATCAAACGTTGCCCGAAATGTGGCAGGCCTGAAGCCTTGCCAAAAATTATTTGACGGCTGTCAGGAATTGAATACTTATCTCTCCGCCCGCTGTCCCTGGCAAAAGTCAGTCTCCCTCTATCCCGATATGCAAGTTATGGGCCCCCAACTGTTGGGAACTTTTCCATTTTGCAAGCGGCTGCATCGCTATTGCCAAAGGGGAGGGGAGGGTTCGGCTACGGAGGCTGGCCTATGCCACGACATGGCCACATGGGACGATGCTTTGAGGCCAACGTCGTCGCCTGTCTGACAGAATTTTATTTTTTTTATTTTTATTTTTCTTCTTTTTTTTTTTTTTTGCAGTTTAGCTTAAAGCTGAAATAGTAATTCACATTGAATGGCTTCGGTGCTGCTGCTGCTGCTGCGACTGCGACTGTGGCTGTTCTGGTTTCAGTGGAGGCTCTGTGGCTCTTTTATGATTTCGCCGTTTTTACGATTATTTTAAAGCTGTCAATAGTCAACGTGTGAGATAATTTATATGCCATAAATTTTAGTGCAAGCACAACTCGAGCTCCAAGCTAGACCTCAGCTTCGAGTTTAACCAAACTACAAATACAAAAAAAAAAAACAACAACAAAAAAAAAACAAAAAAAGAACAAAGCCAAGACCAAGGAAAAAAACAATAACAAAAAGCGCAGACAGTTTTAAGCGGAAAGTCCACGAATGAATACACTAGCCAACGGTGGATGCGGGGTGCGGGTGCGCCGGAGGCTGCCAACATCATCAACAGGTTCTATTGCGCTTTTTTTGAGTTATTGTTGTTGTCTGTGACCATTTCGGTTGGCCGACAATTCATTTGTGTAGCTTATCGCCTTTTTGGCTTGATTTACTGCCCCGGCAATAACAACATCAACAACAAAAACAACATTAAATGCACTCAACAGGTTGTTTTACACTTGACACGGGGCATTTGAGACCCATAAACTGAACAACCTTAATGAAAGCCCACAAGACACATACAAAATTGAAAATACAAATAAGAAAAAATATAATTGAAAAATACAAAAATCGCGAGTGTTATTGGAAAACCAGAATTTAATTTACAGCTGGAAAATGTTTTCTTTTTTAACAAATTGCTTTTTAAGTAAAAAAAATAATATTATATATATACATATATATATATATCTATATATATACATATTTTTTTTGATTTATTGAAACTTTGTTCTTGATTGTTTTACGCAACTCATTTGCTTT